CACGCGCAGGTGAAATTTGTTTAATTTTCTAATTTTGTAAATGTTACTTTTGGGAGATAAAAAGGTTGCAAAGAATAATATTTTAAGATCGTCGTTTGGGTTATGAAATTAAAAGCTCTTTGAAGTTAATAAGCGGTACTGAAAATATATAATTCAATATTTTATCTTTAATTTCATTTAAAATCATAGAGATTAAATACGTTAATATTAAGTGTTCCTTACTGTTCTTTCAAAAGTATTACTGAGAATAATCTGCAAACTGAACCACTTTTACGAAGTTCTCAAATCAAATATAATATCTATTTATTTATAGAGTCATAGATATCTCAAGGGCTGAGCGCTAGCTTTGTTATAAATAAAAAAATATTAATTGCAATTCTAAGTGCTGATTTTCCGCGTTCTCGGCGGTGAAGGAAAACATCCTGAGGAAAGCTACTGTCTGTGATGTTAAAAAAAAGTATATTTTGATGATACGTGAAGTCCGTCTACACACATTGGGGCAGCGCAATTCACATCTTCCTGCCATAAAATTCACTCAAAAATGTGCTCAGCAGTGGAATTATAAGTCAGCAACTATACTTTTATATTAAAGATTGTTTTATAAAAGAAGGGTTACAAACGAGTATACAGCACACCTGATGGTAAGAATCAAAATCCAAATGTATTGTCACCCCTGTGGGCTAAGATGGAATTCCTATTTTTTACCAGTAAAAAGGGTATATACGAAACACTATACTACGTAAAATTCAAATGAATAAGTGTAACTAATCGGGGTTTAGATTTAGAATGTAGTAAAGATTAAAATGACTACGTTTCGTGTTCATCTAAGTGAAGTAACAAATACTGTGCCCTCTTTTCGTTTGTAGGCGACTAGCTCAGTCAGCGTTAGTTCCCCTTACGTAAGTTAGCGAAACACTCTCAACTGCGCAATTTCCTTCGGGGAAACACGTTGTCCGTACGCCATATGGAGGAAATAAGTGGCAACGTTCGAAGCGAACAGGGCGAAGGTTTAAACTACTCAACGCTACATTTCTACCGAACAACACTTTCATTTAAGGTTTCGTTACGTTTAAATTTGTAAAAGAAGAGAAATGTTTGTTGAAAATTGGACGTCTGCTCTTTTGATATTTTTTGTATCGGTATTTTTAGATAATATTAGAATATTTATAATGATGATGTCGTTTGCGATTCAAATTTATGACGACAATACTTTTTGGTTATGGTCATAGTTAATGTCGTTTGCGAAAATAGTTTTCAGTTTCGAAAATATTCACGATATCTGTATTCTATTCGTTTCTATTACCTATCATATAAATAATAGGTAGATTCTTTTTATTCTCCATCAGCTAAAGCCATTAGCGTAAAAGTCCACTATTGGATATTTCTAGACGACTGGACTTTGTGAAGTCGAGTACCACCAGTGATAATTCCGGACTAATACGACTGAGGGGCCGTCAAGAAAGAGCTGTATATAGAGCTATATTATGGTTGTGGCACGAATAGGTCAATTCAACCGGGGGGAATCACGCTCACACATAATGAAGCTTAATGCTCCTGTGTTTCGTATGGTGAGTGTTAGAACCGGTGACCGTTTAACCAGGTAATGAAGCATTCGATCCTAGTCCTCAGGGGTAACACCGCGACTGCATTTTAATTTTAAATCATGGATAGATGTAGACGCTTATGTGCCATAGTGTCTACTTACTATCAGGTGTACCGTGTACTCGTTCGTCATATATAATCTGTAAAAAATGTACATTTTTAGACCCAAGTAAGCAAAATATGTTGGTAGTACAATTCTTCTCTTTTCTCGTCATCACCATCATTAGCCTCTAAAGGATCATAGCTGTACATCTTGAAGCTTTGACACTGCTCTGGTTATTTTGCGTTTATCATAAATGAAATGGTTATAAGACCATATATCAGAAGCTATTAAATCTTTCTGGAATAACTTGATGTGTGATGGATTCTCTTACACCACCACTTCATGGCTTAATAAGAACGATTATAATTTTTTTTAAATATTCTTTGTATTTTTGGATGGTAGGACTCATTTTCTGCCCAGGACTCTATCTAGGAGTATGTTAGTAGGTACACAGACGGACTCCTCTTATTTATTTTTGCCTCCCAACAGCAGTAATTGCACTGCTGTGTTCCAGTCTGAAACATTTATAGATCAAGTTTAATTACAGGCTGTAAGGCATTCCATCTTAGCGTTCAGAGGTGACAGCACATCTGTAGTCTTCCTTGTTTGAAGTTAACTACAGTTGACAGAGAGAGAGAGGGAGATATGTGAATTTATTCTGATCTTTCTTTTTTATAACCCTTAAATCTATGCTTACATTCTACTAAAATTATTACATACTCAGCGTTTATGTATTTATGCTGACGGAAGCTTTATCTATATAATAGGTGGTGCTGGTGTAACAATAACTTCTTACTGGACTATAAGTTCGTTTGTCATATTAGTCACAGATTAAATATTGTTACTACATAACTTTAATTTCATTAAAAATATTCAATAGCCTTATGGAGCACTGTCGCGTATGATCTTCTATAAATGTCAAAGCGGAAAAGATATTGCTCTTTTCATAAAACTTGCAGCAATTTTTTTTATTTAAAATACCAACAAGACTATACTTAATGGTTTCTTATATTTACGCGAACACTACACATTGATTAAAACTACTTTTACGGATTTTTATCGCGTTTAATTTTAATTTTAATTATTTTTAACTTTTATTTTTATTTTTAATTTCCGACGTTTCGGGTGCTTTTCAGCACGCATGGTCACGGGTGACTACCCCGTATATATAAAATTAATGTAAATAAAAATTTAAAAGTAAAAATATTTAAAATCAAAGTTAAACGCGATAAAATCCGTAAAAGTAGTTTTAATAAAGACTGTACTTAGTCGGGTCATAAGTTCTGTCAAAACCTTATTATTTAAAAAAACTGGCTAGATTCACTTCACCAATTTTAAAAATATAACGTTTTCGCCTGTCTAAAATAAAAAAGACATTAATTTTCAAGTATGAAGTGGTCGAAGAAAGAATATAGAGTAGCGGTTATCGCGTTGCACCGCTGTAGTTACGCGCCAAAAGAGATTTTCAATATTCAACAAAAATTGAAAATAACCCTGCGATTTGTGTATCGTACTATCAAACCATTCACTGAAGATTCGAGCTTCGAAGATCGTAAGAAGACAGGCCGACCTCCTACAGTTAGGACACCCGCGATCATCAAAGTAGTGAAGGCGCGAATCCAACGAAATCCTGTTATTAAGCAAAAAATCTTAGCTCTTCAGATGGGCCTAAGCAGAACCACGGTCAAAAGAGTGATCAATGAAGACCTAGGACTACGAGCTTATTGTAAAAAGACCGGATATGTTTTAACGAGCGTTTGAAAAATATAGGCTGGATAGATACCGCGCTTTGTTACGGCGGTACGCGGGAAAAAATACAGCGAAATTTAAAAAAAAAATAACATCAAAGAAAATTATAATAAACAAAATTATAAGATCTATGCCCATAGCAGTGAAGTAGCTAGCATGCGTATTCTAAAGGTTCAACGTGCACATTATCCCTCATTACTCATGGTTTGGCTTGGAGTCTCACATTCGGGCTTAACTGAGTCACTACACAGCCTACTAGGTTATAAGATATGTCAACATTTGGAGGAGAAAGTCTGCGCTAAATCTCATCAGAATTTGAAATCTCTCCGAGCATCTGCGAGTGCACCATCGAGTGTGGTGCGTGCTGCATTGATGATTGGCCGCGTCGCTAAAGGGCATGTATTCAAAATGGGGGAGGGCATTTTGGATAATGTAAATAAAATTTTGTTCTAAATTAAATTACCTCTTGTTTCATATATAATTTCTATATGGTTATCAAAAATGTGTATCGTTTAATTTTTTTAAAAGTTTTGGCAGAACGTATGACCTAAGTATATTATGTTAAAATTTATATTCTAGTATTGAAATGTACATTTAAACGTGATATTAATTGTTACCATGGCACCTGTCATAGGCGAGCTTAATATATTAATTGATATTAATATATAATACTCCAGTCAAATAAGGTTGTACATCAAAATTTTGGCACCCAACTTCGCATTTGTAATATATTGTAGTTTTAATAATACAAAAACAAGGTCGAAGTAAAGTTTTTCGTGTCGGCAACACCCGGCAAGCGTTAAAAAAACTGTGAAAAGCATTTTTTTGCAATTACTCGAAATCGATAAAATTAGACAAACATTTCTTAGCTTAAAATCTTACATAAAAAGATTGTATGTTTTTTCCTGGCCAAAATTAACTGAATTAGGGAGATTTTAGGTTTAAGGTAAATGAATATAAATTTTTAAAAAAAATCGTAAGTAGTAGAAAAATAAGCGAATTTGATTTTTTTTAAATTGCTTAAAAAATCTACCCTTTAATTTTTTTAAAGAGATACATTTTTTATTGTTATAAATATAACGGAACTTTCAATGTTGGTTACATTATTACATTGTTTAAGATGACTAAAAAAACAATAGCAGATTTACATATGTTTGGTTGTGTGGTCTGTTATGTAGTTTAGGTAGTTTTGTATCATATTGTTCAAAATCAAAGTGAATATTTCTTCGGTATGAGTGTTTGGTGCATTTATGTATAACATACTCTATAGTTCAATATGTTTGTCATCAATAATTCTGTACCTATTTGTGACAGAAATGCGGATATAAAGAAATTTCAAAAAAAAAAAAAGAAAATCGTTGCTGCATTATACTAATATTTTACACTAATATTATGTGTCGATCACGGTTGTCTCAGATCAATACATTCCGTAATTAATGATTTCTTATATTTACGCAAACACTACCATTATTAGGAAAGTGCTGCTCCTCTTTTAGTTTCCATCTGTTGCGGTTAATGACACCCACGGGACGTTTTTGGGAAAGTTTACATTCTTATACTACCACAACATGAACAATTAAATAATGCTTAACTTCTTGTTTCGCAGGTGATACCGGCGATGTTCCACACGGCTAGCATTTGGCTGACCCTCGCTCTAGCGGTGCAGAGATACATCTACGTGTGTCACGCTCCAGTCGCAAGAACTTGGTAAGTATGCTTAGTACGAGGTAGAAATTTCTGCAGCTAAATCATAATTTAAGCACGAGTGGGTCGGTTCGACCGGGGAAAGACCACACTCTCACAGAATGCCAGCGTAAATAGCAGCTTAATTCTGCTGTGTTTCATGTGGTGAATAACCGGAGACCCGTTTTACTGGAAACAACGCATTACATTATAGTCCTTAGGGATGATTGCCCATCTGCATTTTGACCCCTACCTGAGGATAGATGTCTATTGGCCACAATGACCACTTACCTTCAGGTGGACAGTGTGTTCACTTATCATCCTTATTCTATAACAAAAAAATTGTAGACAAAAGATTTCACAGATGTCACTTTCACACACGATATTACGTAGAAAGTGTTTTGAAACACTTAAGCTGATTACTGGTCCTGTTCAAATATACGACAGAAGTATCTAAGTTGTGTACATGTATGTGTAATAATAAGTCTGGATATATACAATACAAAGCTAATATAATATTAACCTTATTGCAGACAAGGGTTAAATCAGACATTGTAGTATATAATAGTATGACATTGTTGTAGGACAAGTCTGTTGTGGATACATGTTAAAATAATTTATCTTTATATAAATAAAATCTAAGTGCCTCTCTGTAATATAATAATAAAAATCATCATCAATACAGCCCTTTACAAGTCCACTGCTGAACATAGGCTTTCCCCAAGGAATGCCACAAAGCACGATCCTGAGCCACCTGCATCCATCGACTTCCTGCATGTCTTACCCGGTTGTCACTCCATCTAGTGTGGGATCGCCCAACACTAAGCCTACCGGTACGATGCTGCCACTCGAGAACTATATAAAAATAATGATATATAATAACATAAAAAGGTAAGAGTAGTACGTTTACTCAGACGGACTCTGACAAAAATGGAAGTCTGAACACCTAGCACCAGTTCTCGTAACTCGTTAAACGAAGCAATACTGTATAAAACATAATACAGTGAAAAGGAGTCCCAGCGACATTTGAAAAAAAGAGATAAACTTCAAACGTAAAAAAAATATTTCATGTTAATATACAATTCAGCACCTCAACTGTCAATTCAAAGGCAGAATGCTAGCTCTAATAACAAATAGATAACAAGATTTGTTTATGTCATTAGCATTGGTTTGTCAATAGAGTTATATCGTAGAAATATAAATTTCATGTTATTCATAATTCCCTATGTTAACAAACATTTGACAAGTCAAGCAGTCTTGACATTTATGTAGTTTGAAGAGAGTTTGAGCGTTCCCGAAAGTTTCCGTTTGTATAGGTTCTAAATCAACATGGACCACTAATTACATTTTATACACTACAATTTACAATACAACAAATTATAACCTATATAATTGATATAATTTTTACTTAAGGAACCGATTTGAAAAAAACTTACGTTACGTATTTATTATTTATCGCGTTTAACTTTTATTCAATCTATATAAGAGATATGCGTTATTTTTTAACTTCCCGCCATGAAAATCAATGACGTTCAAAAAATAAGGAAGTGTTATTCTGGCTATTTTTGCAATGATGTCCGTATGTATGTGTGTGTGTGTGTGTGTGTGTGTGTGTTGTGTGTGCGTGTGTGTGTGTGTGTGTGTCTGTGTTTGTGTGTGTGCGTGCTTGCGTGCGTGCGTGTGAATGCAAACCTTGTACTTATGAACAGCTTGAACGAACGAAACGCGGGGCATTCGAAAGAGATTTATTGCCATTATATTTTGTATGAATTTGAATTAATTCGGTTTGGTAAATTTTGATAATCTCAAAAATTTATTTTAAATTTATTTGAGATAACCTCTCCACTTAACCTCAAAAAATAAAATAACTTGCCGCAAACCGCATCAAAATCGGTAAATCGGTTCACTCGTTCATCTCTTGAAAATTTTCAAGTCATAATACTAGACTGCACTAAAAATATCGGAAATGGAATATTTCCACCGTTCCTGTCATAATAAAATCGTTTTAATTGAAAACTCCTTGGTTTTAAAAATCGAATACCATTTATTTATTTAAAAAAAGATTCTCGGTCTTGTGTTAAGGTTGTGTCACAAGGTTTTGTCAAACTTGTTTAGTCGTTGAGAAAATGGAATCGACTCGAGAAAATTCAAGAGCGATGATTTATTATGACTTTCGAAGTGGTTTAACACAAAAACAGTGTGTTAACCGGATGATTTCTGCATTTGGTGATGAAGCCCCATCCAAAACCACAATTTATCGCTGGTTTGCTGAATTTCAACGTGAACGTGTCAAGCTCAGTGATGATCCCCGTCAAGGTCGTCCAAAAACTGCAGTCACCCAAGAAAATGTTGATGCTGTGTGTAAGCTGATTGAGGAAGATCGACATGTGACATACAGCGAAATACAGGCAACTTTAGACATTGGCATGAGTCAAATACAAATAATCTTGCATGAACAATTAGGTGTAAAAAAGTTGTTTTCCCGATGGATACCGCATTCGCTCTGTGAAGAGCAAAAAGCGGCTCACGTTACTTGGTGCGTCAGAACTTTCGAAAGATTCCAAGCAGGATCCTCAAATGCTGTATACAACATCGTATCAGGTGACGAATTCTGGATGTACGTGTACGAACCCGAAATAACAAACCAGTCACGAGTTTGGGTGTTCGAAAATGAGTTAAAGCCAACAAAAATTGTTACATGATACACTATGTCTTAGCGCTGATTCAGAAGCTATAATGGGAAAATTATTTTATGCTTTTTGAAGTTGGTTTTTACTTTTATTAAATATTTAATCATCTGCCTTGAAGTCAGGTGTTTGCATTACCCTCTTATTTCCACCACTAAGAAGCAAATATCATTCCTGTTGCTATTTGATTCCGATAACGAGAGAGCCACTATAATATAGGATGTAGTAAATTAAATTCAGCATGCCATTCTTTACTCAACAAATTAATTGATTCTCGGTACTTTAATCTTACAGAGGAATGTTTTAGAAAAGGGAAATCAATGGACTTTTACCATTTCTTTAATATTCATTTACCAGGCCTATGTATTAGCCATAGTTGCCAGGCTTTGTAACTGCAGATATAGTGTTAGTTTTGATTTGTTATCAGGAAGATGTTGCTGTCCAACTCCTGCTCCCTTTCCTTCTGCTGCCTCTTAAGACGTTGATGCAACGATATGGGTAAGTGGATTTTCTCAAGGCGATACGTTTCGAAATTATAATACATACGTGCGTGTCGCTGGAGAGAGTACACCAGATAAAATAATTTTTATATAACATATAATGTTATTTTAAAAATTGGAAAAATTCTTGTATCATCTGGGTACTAAAATAATAAATCTTCGGTGAGAAAATATTTTAATCTCGATGTTTCAAAAAATTATACGTTTGTTAACTAATCCTTTTTTTAATCTCCGTTCTTATAAATAACGGGATAAAAGGTTTAAATAATGGATCTATAAATTTTTGGCTTCTTTGAGATATATACTTAAAAGATCACGCGACAACCCATTTACGCCCGCTCTCCCGATTTGGGCCACTTTTTTAAGTACCCACATTTTTTTAATTATTTTAGCTATCTTTTGTTTGTAGACGAATTTGTAATGCCAAAGATTGTGGCTTTGTAATACAACTTATAGTTTAGTAATTTTCTTTGGTTAAAGCGGATAAACTTAGTGATTTTATTAACATCTTGAGCAACTAGGTGTATGACCAAAAGCGAGTTTTTTTTTTATAGTAACATTGGTATTTAGTTTATTTCTTTTGTATTTTAACTTGGTCATAGTTTTTACTAGTAAATAATGCTATAATATCGAGTGTTTTCTGAGATTTACCTATAATTGTAGGTATTTTAGTATGGTGTCCCCGAATGAGTCCAATGGGATGATTGATAATATGTTTTGGTTTTTATTCGCATATTCAATTACGGCGTGAACAATGACTGAGCGATCTTTTCAAGTTCTTAATGATTATAGAGGACTCGAGGAAGCCTTTGAAATTATTTCAAATGAAAATGATGATCCTAATATTAGTTACAATATAGTGGCCATTCACATACAGACCCCAGTGTTCTTAAGGATGAAGAAGAAGGCGATTAAGGTGATGTTCGTGTGAGAGGTACTGTGAGGGAAAATAGGACAAAAAATACCCACTATTATCTGTCAAAGATATAAAAAAGAAATACAGAGGAGATACTAGTTTTTACGGAATTTATCGCGTATATTTAACTTTTTAAATACCCGACGTTTCGAACGCTTTACAGCACTCATGGTCACGGGCGGGACTGAGATGTTCAAAGTCCATATGTCATAGTTAACCGCGGTTACCATAGATTAAAATTTAACTTTTGTTCCGACCTATGCAGTATGAATTTATGGTATCTTGAAGTCTTGCAGTTGCATGCTTGGGTTGGGATTTAATTTTATTTATTATAGGATCCCAAGCAGATGGTAGCACCCAGCCATCCTCTCTATTGAAATTAGGATGTTTTTTGATTTCAATAGCCTCGCTAATCATCCTTGAAAGGAATCGGTGTTCTTTAGCGAGGATTTGCGGTCTATCAAATGCGATGTAGTGACAGGGGCGATCCTGTTCGTGTTCACAGACTGCAGACTTCCCGGAGCGTCGATTCTTCACATCAGCTATTGATCTTTTAGTTTGTCCTATGTAGGAGACACCACTTTCACAATCAAGCTTGTACACTCCTGCATCTTGCAGAGGGACATTACACTTGACTGATGGTAAAAACTGACCAATCTTCTTCAGGCTTGAAGTATGTTTTGATGGAAGCGCGCTTCAAGATGTAGCCAATCTTGTCAGTGACTCCTCTAACATATGGCAGTACAGCAGGTACACGCTCGACTGTGGCCGGCTTCACTCGTTCACTGTGACGTAGGCGCGGGACTCGAAGCTTGTTGTCATGCAAAACTTGCTTGACATGGTGGAGCTCTGCAGCCAGGTGTTTACTGTCACAGATCCCTAGTGCTCTCTGAAACAAATATTTACCCACGGTAGCTAACT